CACATCCAGGTCATGACTTCAGAAATTTGTGTCGCAACCTTAGAAACTCACGTCGCGACCTCATGAAGCCATGTCGCGACATGAGAACACAGAAGCACAATCAGTCTTGGTTTGGCTCCAAAATGCGCAACTTCACTTAAAGAGCATCTAGGTCGCAACCTGAGAAGTCCAAGTCACAACCCGGGGATAGAGAAACACCCCAGTCTTGCATTTTGACTCTTATGAATTTGTGGCTCCGTCAATACTCTATCTTGGGTCTTAAATACTCCTCCAAATGCCTGAAAACAGCAACAAAGAGCTTTGTAAAGATTAAACTGATTAAAGATCAAGGCAATTTTAGTTTGGACGAGATAAATGACCATTTTTACCCTTAAACAGCAAAATGCAATGCATGAATCGATATAATCAAAACGATATAATATGCATGCATTATAAGGGCAAAAGTGTTGCAAAATATCAGGAACCACTTAAGAAAACCATGTAAATATTAGGTTTTATCACTCTCTAAGGTCAGATTCTCTGCAGCAAAATCTCCCCCTTTAAGTTTCTAAAAAACTGAAAACTGAAGGTAGGAGAGGGGGTATTTATAAACCTCAATTTGGCCTCCTCTTCCTTCCAAGTGTCCCTTAAGAGATAATGTTTTGGATAAAATCATGTGATAGTTTTGTATTATTTTATTCTATAACCATGTGCACTAATTGGGCTATGAAATTCTTGTTCATTCTTGGCCCAAAATCAAGTCCAATGGGCTGGAGAAAGAAGGAAGAAGTATCACTATTCATTTCCAAACATTTTTCCACCTGATTTTACCATATCGGCTAAAATTCCTTTCTAATTTCCAATAATAGTTCTGGGCCTCTAAAAGTTTATTTCTTCCCATCAAAAATCATATTTTAATATAAAAAGTCCTGAATTTTTCTAGAATTTATCTCAACCTCTAACTATTTATTTTGAATTTTCTTTGAAATCAGGCTTTATCGATAAGACTTCAGTAATAAATATTCTAAAATTAATCCCTTCATTTCTAGAGCCTAGAAATAATTTTATAAATTTAAATAAATCCTCAAATAATTTTTTCATATTTTTTTCAGAATTATTAAGGCCTCTACATATTTAAAATAATTGTTTCGGTCTAATTTTTCACTGTTTTTCCCGAAAAACTTCATAAAATTTTGTAATAATTTATTCTTATGCCATTTCCACCTCTAGGGCCTCAAATAGGGTTTTAAAACCTCTAATTTATCTTTTTATTATTTTTCAGGAATTTTCTGAATTTTTTTTCAAATTTTTCTCTTTTGCCCTTCCTGGACTGATAATTTTAAAAATATTAGTCCGGACAAAAGTCGAATCTTAACTTCAAAGTTGTTTCACCTCTGAATCTATTTTATTACTTGACCCTCTGTGTAATTTATTATTTACATTCCCAGGATCAAAATTAGCGGGATGTGATAGAAAATGAAAAGGGCAGGCTATGCGAAGAGTGAGAGAAAATGTGAAATATAATTGGAATGTGAGGGTTTTTTAAAAAAATAATAAAAAATACTTGTTGTAGGAAGCACCACAACAGGTATAAATTCTTAAAATATATACCTCCACACACACACTTCTTTAGCAATTCCTTAAGAACGTGGCATAAGAAATATCACACATTCCATACCACTTCCTTGAGAAAGCATTACGACAGTTTAATTTTTTTAAAAGAACAAAATATATATATATATATATATATATAGGAGTTGTAGCCCTTTATCAAGAAAGCACTGCAAAAGACCGTTATTTTTTTGTAGCTCTTCTCTTAATATTTAAAAAAAAAAATTAGAGCCGTGGCATTTCATTAAATAAGCGCTGCAAAACATATGCTACTTATTTGGCTTTTTGTCGTAGTGTGAGAATGCGAAGTGGAACGGAAGGATCAACCATTATTAACGCACATCCGCTGTCAACAAAAAATATAGCAACAGGCTCTTTTTAGGCTAAATAAAAACTAATCGAGTCATCTTCAGAATAAAGATTGAACTTGATAGCAAATGAATGCACAGAAGCATGTTCAAAACAAAGCACAGAACCAATTTCAGCACCATCGTTCAGTGCGCACTTCAAAACATGAAAAAAGGATAATGATATTCCAACACATCGTACAAATATCCCAAACAGTCAACAATCGTAGACTGAAATACTGCGAGACAAAGATATAAGATTTCACATCATTTAGCCCATAATCAAATACACACACACATACATATAGAATGGAGCTCTTAAGTACCTACCCGAAAGGCTTGTGAAGACAATAAAGCAGCTGGATTGAGAAAGCGAACAATGATTCTTGTTCTTCTCTGAAAGGAAGTCCCAGAGAATCTAATCTAGTGCTCTTACACCAAAGATGAACGAGGTATTAACGAGGTTAAGCAATTTACTAAAGCTTTTGGGGGAATCTAGAAAATCACAACTACTTGTTTGATCCAACACTATATGAACTCACCACGTGACTCGTTTAGTTCGTTTGTTTTTCCCTTGACCTTGGGAGCTAAAAGAAATGGAGTGTATTCACACACATTTCAGATACTAGCATCAATGAATCTGGTTGAATTATATACAATTTTCTGCTCGCACGGAAGAAAGACGGTGATAGGGAAGAGACTTATGAAGATGAAGAATCAATGTGAAACGTTAATGGCTTCAATCCTTGATCTACTCCAAAGTCTTGCCTTTCCTTCTAATGAAGATACATGCTATTAATAACTAAATTACATCAAATTGCTATTTTCCTAATTTTACTACATGATGGTTGACGACGGGGACAAGATGTCGGAGAAATGGAGAATAGATGAAAGAAAATCGTACCTAGATCAAAGATGGTAGACAGAGCAAGTTGCTTGGATTTGGAATCAAAAATTCCGATCATGAGTGGAGTATTTTCCTATGCACTAAATCTACTTCAAAAAAAGAAAAGAAAAGAAAATATTAGCTACTACCAGATAATTAATTTGCAAATATAAAAAAAATTAATTAAATTAGTTATTTGTAACAAATAGAAATTATTTTTCTTAAAATACTTCTAGTAATCATGTGTATTGGACCATTTGACGAAGTGCAATCACCATATGAATTACTTGGGACAAAAAAGATAAATATTAGAGATAAAATGGATTAGGATTTCATATTTAGGATCAAATTGAATCTTCAAGTAACTTTTATATTAAGGACTGGTAGTAGGAATTTATTAATGTACAGTACTGGATGCATAAAGCATGATAAACCGCATGATATAAAAATATACCATCTCAGGTTTTAATATAAGAGTTAGTTGGAGATTCAATTTGGTCCTAAATGTAAGACAACAATTCACCTTTTCTCCGGTACTAGCGATTCCCATGGTGATTACACATGTTAATGATTTTTTTATGAAAGGTTAATTCTAATACACATGATTAGCAATATTATTTTAGGGATGACAAAATTCATTTATTACAAATAACTAACTTAACTAATTTTCTTAATATTCATAAATTAGTTATTTAGCTCCTATATTAAGGACCGGAAGTAGTATATTATAGCTGTAATTATAAAATATAAATTGGATATACATATGTAATTAAAATATATCTATATTATTCTATATAAGTAAAGTAAGATTTTTGAGATTCTTTTTTTGAACAATAATTTTTAAAATTCAAAATTAGGAAATAATAATTTTGATATAAATATTATTAAAAAAATCTAAATAAAAAAAATATCAAGGCTTAAAGTACATCCTCCCATGACTTTTGATGAATGTACAATTGGTATCGTAGTGTTCAGTTAGAAGCAAAATTGTTCATGAACTCTTCTAAAGAAAGCAAAGATGACATCAATGTTAATTGTTTTGAACATCTATTACTCCTTTTTTTTTTGGGTGAGTACCACTTGATGCTCACTCGGTAAGGATAGTTTAAAAGAATATTATAAATTTCAGAAATAAAATGAATAAAGTATTATATTACCATCAAAGTAAATTTTTAATTAGCTCTTATCACCAGGCTTTGGTTCTCTGGATTGTCTTTTCGGAGATTTTTTTCAATACCCTAATGGACGCCCATGTCCTATGCTAACCTCAGCGGTGAATAGCGGCATTTATCGACTGCTTTTGCTTCACACTACTTTAGTGTAATGGATTCTTGTGGTCATTTTGTTTATCTGCAGTGTCATGCATGGCGGTAGTGTCATGGCAAGTGTGAAGCTTCAATACTCTGTTTCAAGTTTAGACTTCTAATTTTACTTAGGGTTGGTTTTGTCTTTTATGAATCAGGTTGTATTTTGTTCTAATTTGCGTCAATTTATGGCTGCAGGTTGTTAAGTTATCGTACTATCTTCTCTACAGGCTTTTGTGCCTTGTATTGGTTACATGATTTTGTAAAAACCAATACTTTTTTTTTTTAGTATTTTTTACTTTTGAATACAATTATCCTTTTTTCAAAAAAAAAAACTAACTACAGTTCTTAAAATCATAATATAAGAACTAGATAATCAGTATATAAAGGATTAAAAAAATTAATTAAATTAATTATTTATAAAGAATGCATGTTGATATTTCTAAAATCCTCATAAATCATAATTTGCATTAAAACTACTTTTTAATGGTGTATGCACTTAGTACGGATAAATTGGAAAGAAAACTGTCATTAAAAAATTGGAAAGAAAATCATAAATTTGAGAGAGTGGAGACAAAGTAGATAAGGTATAATATTTCCAACCACGTTTACCAAAAAAAATATTTACAACCAAAATATATTCCTAATCCTAAATAACTCTTACATTTAGAAGCCTAGGAAATATTACCACTACTGTAAGGCACATTTACACTTCTTATTCTTTTGCTTGCGTTTTTTTTTTTTTTTTTGGTCTTCTCCATCTTATAAGTCTCTTGTTTTTGGCATTTGACATGCATAACTAGTTACCTTGACAGCATCTACTAAACTGAACTTAATTTTAGGATGTTTTAATTTCTGTTTGAGAGTGGTTTTACAAATCAAGCTTAAAATCTTTAGTCATCATCAGAATAACTTATCATATTAAACCATAAGGTCCACATCAATAATTAACAATGACTCTCTCTCCCCGCCGCCCCTCCCAAGAACTAACAATGACACTCTTGAAAATATATAACAGAAATACCCCAAAAACTATCTATAATTTAGGAATCAGATCGATCAATATTCCCATTTCTTCAGTTCCATGCCATCAGGAGGACTTCCCTCCACCGTCTTCGATCCCACTTCCTTCCAGTTCGTAGACAGCACTGTACCATGGGACTCCACCTGCAACAAGTTAAACAGAGTCAAAATGCAGAGCACCCAGCTAGGTTTTCACATAGAACAAGACCATTACATATAGGTTGTAAGACCAAATGAAGCGTCAATAGTTCGCACAGCAAGCGCATTTGGCTTCATGTTACAAAAACACTAAATAGATACTCTATATCCTTAATGGTAACAATTTTGAAATAATAAAAATTTTGGGGATGCACCAAATAAATACTCTATATCCTTAATGGTAACAATTTGCTTTCACCAAAACTCTAGTTTTAATACTATCTCCGGTTCAAAATATAAGAATCAAACAACTAAATTACACAACTCAAAAAGTTGATTAAAGTTGGCTATAAAGTCAATAAATATGTACAGATAATGTACTTTATTTTCTGAAAATATCCTTATTTATGAAGAGGGTGAGTGAGAGAAAAAAAGAGCTGAAAGAGACATATAATTAGTAAGGGTAAAAATAAAAAGAATGTATTAAATGATTGGACAAATCCAAATTGATACTTATTATAAAAAATAAAAATATACTCATATTTTGAATGGAGGGAGTAGTTTTTAATGTGAAACCAAACATTGACAACATGTTAAATCATTTGTTGGCAATTCAAGTTCAACAAAGAATTTTGTTAATTTTCCTCCTATTTGAAAGACCTCATAGATGCACAAGATCGAATTTAATAGAGAAAGATTAATGCAGCGTTCGTTAGAATTTATGTCAAATTTAAACTAGCCCGAGCATTTTAATTTTTTTAAGAAGATAATCCTATAATGTTCAAACGATGTTTTCAAATGAAAAGGCTATGGGAGGGAAAGGTCTGATTTGGTTTGTCAACATAAGTGATGCTGATGGTGCCAGAATGTCATCAGTTTGAAAATTTCTAAATAATAGGGACTTGTTTGAAAATTGGTTGGGACTACTAGGGCCAATTAATTGATTTTTCCCAATGTAAAAAACTTACAAATGACTTTCTCATTGCTCTTCTGGTGTCGTCATCAGCATCCTGATATAAATCCCGAAAAAATTTATTCAACGCTGCATCACCATCAAGTTTTTCTTCTTTCTCCTGAATTGGGTAATTTTAGTAATCAGAATGAGCCAAAAAAATAAAACTACATCATTTTGAAGTAAACCTGCACACATACCTCTTTTTTTACTTGAGCTTCAAGTTTATCCCAATCTACTCTCATTGGTTTTGAAGATGGATAAGTGGGTCTTCGGCCTCCATTACCTGCAAAGTTCATTCCAAGGAAAATATTTATATATTGATCAATAAGTGAAAATAGGAACTGTCATTAAATTGGTCCACAAGAGTAATGTTTAAACAAAAAATGCATTGATCCACAAATAAATAGAACACTCGAATATAATCCATACATAATTCAACAGAATAGAAGTGTTAAAGCATAAACCTGACCGACTGCTATTTTTTCTTCTTTTTTAAACTCAAAATGACGTTATTTTCTGATTAAAAAGGGGAAGGGGGGAAATCCAAATTGATCAAAACTTCCAAAACTCTTGACCAGAGTGGGTTGGGGACTAGTTCATTGATATGACCGGACAGCTCGATTTAGGTTTTCATACTATGAAGTTAATGCTATTGGAAAGTTAGGGGCATGCAAAGACAAAATAAGGAGACCAAGAAGCGAAAATCCGGATATAGATATCGGGTATGATGGGATATGATATGTGAGATACAATAATTTCTTGATGGAATATGAAGGATTGCGTTACCGGAGGATACACAAGCCTTCTGCAGAATTGTAATGTCCTTTGTATACTCTAGAGATTTCCAGGTGATAGGCTCCGCTTTTGCCAGGCGAATTTCAATTTTTGTAGAGAGAACATCGTATCGGCACTTGGAACGTATTATCTGATTGAAGCAAACCAAAGATTAACATCATGATCAATAAAAACAGATGTGGGTTAGATAAATCTTATAGAAATACTTCTATTTCCATGACAATGCAGCTGCTCATTAATGGAAATAGTAACATTATTTAGTACTCCTTCCAATCCTAAATATGGAAACTGAATTACCAATTTGCAGAGATTAGAAAAATTAGTTGAGTTAGTTATTCATAAGAAATGTATTTTAGTTTCCTTAAAATACCCTCTTTAAATCATTTACATTGGTTTGACCAAAACAAAAAATCATTTACATTGGAACTACCCATTAATGAAAATCATTTTAATATGTATAATTAATAGGCATAATTTAAAAAACATTATAAATTTGGAAGATAAAATTTACAGACATCTTGCATTTTAGTATCAAAACAAATCCTCTAACTCACTCATATATTTAAGATTGGAGGAAGTCGAAGCTACATGTCTCCTGGAACATAGAAAAGAAAGTTTTCATCATACCTTTCCAAATAGACGAGGTTGAAAATTATATGCATCTTCCCCAGGGACATTGATTCTAACACTTAACTGAAAAAAAAAAAAAAGCAAAATAATGGAAGAGTGAGTCAAGGATATGATTTGTTACCAGTTCATCCACATACAAGAAACATACACAAGAAAGTACCAAAAAGTTGCAAACCATACCATTTGCTCACCAAAATCAAGAACAACACAATCCTGAGGGACACCCTTAGCAAATATGGTCACTACCAACTCATCAGGCTTTTGGTAGAATTCATACCTGTAAAATAATATACAAACATCAGCATGTAACAAGAAAAAGATTAGCTAAAAGTTTGAAGAATCTAATAGAGCATTTGCTTAGAGACGAAACTATATATAATCACCCTAAATTATAGCCCAATTACAAATTTGATCTATGGAAGTTGACAATGACTCATTATACCAACAAAAGTTTCTGGCTAAGTAAGCAGCAAACAAAAGGAGGAAAAAAAAAAAAGATGCACTGACCTGTATTTCGGTTTAGAAGATGGTACTGTTACTTGTTTTGTAAGATCCTCATTTGACTGAACTTCTTCAATTGACATATCACAAGTTTCCTCTATTCAACATTATAATTTTTATAAAGCACATCAGTTTAGTGGCAAAATAAGTACAAGTATTTTCTTTTCTTTTTTCTTTTTTCTTTTTTCTTTACATTTTCCCACCCAAAAGTCAAGCCATGACTATTAAATATCTTTTTTAAAAAAAAAATAAACAGTACCAACTTAACCACAAGGAAAGAGCTATAGTTTTATGCAACAAGAAAAACTTTTACCTGCAATGTAAATATCACATTCTTTGATCAAATTTTTTCTTTTTCTTTTTTCTTTTTTCTTTACATTTTCCCACCCAAAAGTCAAGCCATGACTATTAAATATCTTTTTTTAAAAAAAAAAAACAGTACCAACTTAACCACAAGGAAAGAGCTAGTTTTATGCAACAAGAAAAACTTTTACCTGCAACGTAAATATCACATTCTTTGATCAAATTTATGAATTCCGATTCTCCTGGGGCTAATGAAGTTCCCTTCTCCAGATCTGTCTTAGCAGTCTGATATTGCCCAAGTTTCATGCACGCAACACTTAAACAAAAAAGGAAATAACTATCAGATAAAAAATAATATTAATAAAATCGAAAAAAATAAAAAAGAAGAGTAAATGAAAAGTTATATAAGATGTGATCTGATTAAATGCAACGCAAAGAAAGCCAGTAGAATTGGTGTCACCTTCCTGGCGAAAAAAGAAAAAAAGAGTTGGCGTGGCCTTAGAAAGTATTTAATGGCAAAGAATTTTGTAATTAACCACGTTTATCCCTCGCAAAAAAAGGGCGATATCTCATATGATTTTAAACAGAGCATTAAGAATTAAAAAAAAAAAAAAGACAGAGCATTTCACTACGCCATGTGGATGACGATACAAATAACAGAGACAGTTAATAAGTTTCGGTTTATTGATTTCAAGAAGAGATCATAACTTCTAACAATACAAAGTCTATAAAGTCCCAGTATTGAACTCACCCTTTGAGCAAATAGGCTTTCGGTAGATTACGATTTAGCTCAATTGCCTTGTTTGCATCGGAAACAGCACCTGAACAACCGAGATTTACAATTAGTTAGCAGAAAACTGAAACTTATTCAAAATTACCAAACATAGAAGAAGGAAATTATCGATAAACTAAAAACAAACAGAAAAAATTCAGGCACCGTACCGGCGAAGTTATTGAGATTAATGTTGACCTGAGCTCGTTCGACATAGAGCTCGCCATTATCAGGATTAAGAGAAATAGCTTGCGTGAGCAACTCTGCGGCGAGCTCGCTGTGCCCATTCATGGATTCTTCTTTGGCTTTCTCTACGAGATCGGAAGCCATGGCGGAACCAAACGGAACGAGAAGGGAGGAAGAATGAGAAGAAGAGTCTAGGAAGAGAATCGGAGAGACTTCGTATAGCGAAGGAATTCGGTGAGGAAGAGATTGAAGACCAAGAGTCGCTTAAGAGGCGAATTTGAACTGCAAGGAGTAGACCAGAGGAAGACTCGAAGTCGTCGCGAAATAATATTCGAAAGAAAAGTCCACGAAAATTCCTTCTTCTTTTTTACCACCTTCCAGGAAACTTTCTTTCTTTCTTTCTTTCTTTGGCCAACTCCAGGAAACATTCTTTAACTTCTTAGCCCCCCCCCCCCCAAACAAAAAAACACAACAAAAAAAAAAACAAAGGGTTTATTTAGCCTTGGCAGTATCCAGTTTATCGGATATGGTTGTGTGTCTCATACATGGTTGATTTCAATATCTTAACTTAAAAGAACAAGGATTAAACCATTAATCAGTCATATATTTTCTGCTAAATTTGTATTGACTTACATGTTAATTAAATCATTAATTAAAAAAATTAATTTTGTAGTCTTTCAAATGTTAGCTTAATTATGTCTGGCTTATTCCTCTGGAATTCCAGCAGAGAGCCACACGAGATAGAATATTAGAGAGAGAGAGAGTTAAAAAACTCAACTACTGGGTGAGTTGAACTAATGGATAGATGTCTCTATTTATAGCTTTGAGAAAAATATTTTGGGAAGGCAAAATATCCACTAAGTTTATCAGTTTGAATTTGAGTTTGAATATTCAAATATATCTTAACTAATAAAATTATAAATTTGAATTTAAATCCGGAATCAACCTTAATTAATTCTAAATATATATCTCTAATATACAATATAAATTAATTAAATTTATATCGTAACCAATTGGTTTTGATTTAAGATTTTTTTGACCGAGTCAAAATATCATAATTTTACTTGGATATTTGATTGAAATATTTTCTTAATATCCAATCAAATAATTCAGCCCATCAAGAACAGATCCAAGCCCAAAAATCTAACAGAGGATAATATGATATAATATCGTTATTAAAAGTCAAGTATCACTCATATAAAATTAAAAAATCACTTGTCATTAATTAACTCTTCACAAGTAGTAATTGGCTTTTAATAACAATATTATATCACATTATCATAAAAAAAAGTATTAGTGAACATGATAAGTCAATATTATTTGTTATTATATAATTTAAAATCACATTTTTTCAAACTTATATTAGTAAATAAGTTGACAAGTATTGACAAATATTGCGGCCTATATTGACAATTCTCTCTTTTCAACATCTTGTTTTTTTTTTGTCACCAGAGGCTGTAACATCCTAAGTTTTATCGGGTTCTTAATAACCTCTTTTGGTTGATTTTGAGGATAGATTAGTGATTTAATCTTGATCTTGGTGTTTGGGTTGGATTTGAGGTTTGTTGGAGGAATAGGTGAACGTACCCCTCTCAGGGTATGTTCGTCGCAGCGAAGTTTCACTTCGCCGCAGCGCACCGGGGGTTCCAGGTAGGCTTTGTGTTTCGGGAAGGTTTGGCTGCGGCGAAGTCTTAGGGACGCCGCGGCGAAGTTGTTCAGGTGAGCGAGGCTTCCCTTTCGGGAAGGTTTCGCCGCGGCAAAGGTGAGGGCATGCCGCGGCGAAGTTTTCTGGGCGAGCGAGAGTTTCCTCTCGGGAAGCTTTCGCCGCGGCGAACTCCAATCTTCACCGCGGCAAAGTCAGGTTTTCAAGCGAGTAATCCCTCTCGGGATTAGTTCGCCGCGGTGAAGATTGGAATTTGCCGCGGCGAAAGGTCCCGAATCTATATAGTCGCGGGAGGGGTTCAGTGTGCGAAAATTAGAAAATCTGAAGGTGGAGAGAGGAGCTCTGCTAGGGTTTAGAATTTCTGGATTGGAGGAGGCATTTCTAAGGATCCATTACCTCAAATAAGTGATTTTAACCTCTAATATACTTTCTTTCTTGGAATTTCTAAGGATTTTTGGTGGAACCCTAGGATTTTCTAGGTTGTGATGGAACTGAGGTTTTTGACCGATTGTTTTGAGTTTAATTGATTGCATTGGGTTAGTTTAAGTATTTAATCGGTGTAGTTTCCTTGGATTTAAAGAATCTTGAATTTTTGGAGTTAGGGTTTATGGAGATAGGTGATTTGGGATTGAGGATGATAATGTAGAGGTTGATTTTGAGTTTTGTGAAATGGGTTATGTTAAGGAGGGTTTAATTGGATGTTTAATCGGTTTAGATTGTTGTTAGAACTTCAATTGTTCAAAATAGATGTTTGGGTGTAGAATTCCTATAGTGGGTCCTTGAGGTTATGAATTTTAATTGATGTTTGGAAAGGAATTAAGGTGTTAATGGATTGGTATGACTTTGGAGTGTTGCCTTGATAGTTATACCCTTTGAGTTGGGTAGAGTTTGGTGGGAGATAGGAATTTTGTGTCCCCAAGTGTTGTTTTGGCCACATTATTAGTTTGAAAGCTAATATATGATTGGTTGTGTGTTTGTGTGCTTGTGTAGACCGGTTGTGAGTCTTGGTGGTGCACGGGGCCACATTGTCAGTTTGTTATTCCTTGCTCAGGCGAGAGGTAACCACTTTCCAATTCTTAGTACTTGCTTCTGTGGTATTGTGAGTAGATTTATGTTTTGTGCTCTAAGTAGTAATTATGTTCAAACTATATATTGTATATAAAAAGGGAAAACCGTCTTGTGGGGTTTCGATTGATGATGAATGAAATATTAAAATTGTGAAGGATATGCCACTGAATGAAGTTACTTATGAAATGTTCGACTACTATTTGATTATGGTTTGAGCATGATGCATGAATTGGGATTTGGTGAGAGTTTTTGATAGTTACTACCATGTGGTAAGGCCTCCATTAATGCATGATGGTTGGCTCAGTACGTCCCCCATAGTGAGGGATAGGCCTTTTGGCTCCCTACGTCCCCCAGAGTGAGGGATAGGCCTTTTATGGCTCCTTACGTCCCCCATAGTGAGGGATAGGCCGGGTTCGGCTCTTGAAAATCCCCCAAAGTGAGGGATATGGTTGATGGGAATTGCATCATTTCACTCGCATGAATTGTTGTGGCTATCTTGTTATCATATTATTTGTGAACTGCCCCACTTGACACCTCACGAGTACCTATTTAGTAGTACCTAGTATTGGAAAGGTTGGTTACTGGAACTTTGTCTCACCCCGTGGTTTACAATGTTTTCAGGTGAAGTTTCTAGGCGTGCGCCTTCGGGAAGAGACGCAGAGGCTTGAGCTTGGTTAACTTTAGGCTTCTAGCCTTTGTTTATGTATGGATAGTTGTATATTGCCACAGTTAGGGTCTTTTGTGATATTTTGATTGTTGATCTTATTGTAAATCGGAAGATACGTTATCTCCTTGTTTTAGTTGGCCGGAGGCCATTGCTATTGTTTTATGGAACTTTGTTATACATGGTGGAAAACTAATTGGAAACTATTTTATATGGGCTGATGTAGATGTGTTTTGTTACCCGGGCCGGAGGCTCGGAGGCCCAGTGGATATGAATGAATGATTTTAGTTGCATGCAACAGAGTTTGAATTTGAACCGAGTTTAAATGCTAATTTCTAAAGTTAGGCAATTTCTTTCTACTATGGTAGTTTGTTGTAACAGCTTTCCTTTTCTACCATAGTAGTGATTTTGTGATGAGCTATAATGTTATGAGGTTAAGGGTCTTACAGAGGCAACAAGGTCTTTTCTCCTTTTCTATTATTGTTGTAGCCAATTCCTTTTGGGACTCCAAAACAATTATCAAATTTTTAAAAACTTTTTTGATAGTATTTTGTCTTTTATGGGACCTTAGTGTAATTTTTTCTTTTTATTAATTGGGCGCTCTTCGCTCTTCTGAATTAGGAATCTAGGCCTTGTTTATTTTCTTGTTTTGAAAATATATTTTTGTTTTCAAAAAAAATAAAATTTTTTTTGATAATTTGTTTCTAACTAAGTGCTTTTTACAAAAATAAAAATATAATTTTTAAACCTAAAAAATAAAAGGAATAGTTGTTTTCTTGTTTTTATTTTGCTTTTCTTATTTTTTGTTTAGGAAAATTAGGAAATATTTTCTTCTCCGCTCGATAGCTTTGTCTTTGTTGGAGAACTTGAATTGTCATCAAAGCTTCATCCTCCGGTCTAAGTATGTTTACAAAATGTAAAAATTAATAATTAGTTTTCTTGACCTAATTAGAAGTTTGTTGAAAATATAGACTTAAATTTGAATTTACATATTTCAACCGGATTTACTTAAAATTTTCTCAAAGTTAAACCATTTGAAAATATAAAAAATAATTAAAAATTAAATTATAACCAATAATTTTCAAATTCTTTGTTTTGCCAGAAATTTTTAAATTCAGATAAAATATGAATATCAAGTGTTTGGCCAAAAAAAATATGAATATCAAGTGATGAAATTTTTTAATTAAATCCTAGGTCCATGAATAACGAAACTGCTGAGGAAATAACCAGAAGGCTATCGGGCAATAATTGTTGACTTTATCGTTCAATTCATATTGGAGGCAAGCTTTCACTACTTTCTAAGTGTGTGTGGATATTTATAAAAATCAGTTTTAAAGGCCTAAATCATAATTTTCTAAAATTTTATTGAAACACCCATTGGAGCAATAGAATCAGTTTCAACAGTTACTTTGCTGACATTTAAAGAGTGCAAAAATCTTGACAAAACTATGACGCGTTTTGTTTTTTCAATTTTTATCTTTAGTTTTTTTATCAGAATATGCTTCTTTTCAAGTTTTTAATTGGTTAGACTTCATCTAAGCACCCTAAAAAAAATTGTTTTTTTAGGCATATGTAGTGTTCTAGAGCATTTTGTCATTTATTTAACATTCTGAAGTATATTTTTTAGGCATGTGCCTAACATTTGAATATTTAAAGGAGCAAAATTACACTATAAAATATTTTAAGATATTAGACGTACTTGAAAAAATACCTCAAAATGCTGGATGAAGTACAAAATATTTTAGAGTATTGGATGCATATAAAATTTTTTTTTTGGGTGAACATATGAAAAAATATTTAACAGTGCTGAATAAACTTCAAAATATTTTAAGAAGTGGAACGTATGTGAAAAATAAATTTCAGAATGCCGGATCAATCTTACCTTTTTTCTTTTCAAAAAAAAAAAAAAAAGCAAAGTTAAGAACGCGTTTTTCCACCTTAGCATGTGAATGCTTGGCCCAAGATTTTGATTTTGAAAGACCGGAATGCTTAA